ACTCAAAAGTTTCAGCAGCAAACATTAATGCAATGTTTGAAGCAGTTACTGTAAACAATCACATACCGTAACCTTCATGTAAATGGCCTCTGAAGGTTGCAGGCGGATTACGATTTCATTCCTTCCTTGCTTTTGACCTAGTAAAAATGGGATTTATACAAGACAGTGTTCAAGCCAATAATTGATACATAATCAACTTAGACCAAATAACTATAAGCCAAAAAAAAAAAAATGGAGTGCGTTGAAGCAACAGTACATGGAACTGTAGAGGATACACATCATGATAATTAACAATCACATCGAGCTATTGTCCAGTTATTTCATGTACTATCATGAACACCCTGTTTTCTGTTATTTTTCAATTAGAGGACCCTTCTTTTTTTTCCCCGACGTCAATCACACATGCAAATCAAGCAAGATATAGACTTCAGAAGATTACTGAAAAGCAGGTCTGAGATTATACATTTGAATATATCACCAGGAACGGTTTTAAATTGAATACGGATTTCTGCCTTCCTAGAATTTAATGCTTTCCCTGCCTTGAGTATAAACGGAACACCTGCAGCAAGCAATTCATACAGATTGCAGTCAAAACATATCAGAGTCAGGAACTACATTTTGATTAATCTAATGCTTAAGAAATATATAACATGAGTAGAGGTTAAGTCTGAATTATGTGCGAAAGAACAGTTTCCTGATCAGAGAATCAACAGGTTTATCTTCCTCAACAGTGACAGTAATTTAAAAATAAAAATATGAAGAATATGTAATTAATTTGTAGATATCTTATATCACACCTTCCCATCTTTCATTGTGAATTCGCAGAATCATAGTTGCAAAAGTGGGAGTATTTGAGTTGTCTGGAACTGTTCGGTCATCAGTGTAGCCATCATATTGTCCAAGCAAAACTTCTTCATCTTCAATCGGAAGCACCGATTAAAGAACCTGAATGGAAAAGGAAAGCATGTCAAGGACTCAAAAAGTGGCAACTCTTAAAGAATACAGAATATATTATAAAAATAGACATTTACGCTAACTGAAAACACAATAATCATATGGTCATTCATTTAACATCTGTAAAAATTCATACATCCTTAAATCAAATGCCTATGCAAATTATTTCCTTCATTTACATGCATTTGTTCTCCATTCCATAGTAAAAAAGAAATACTTAAATCTTGATATTTCTCTCATATTCACTTATTCTTTACATTGACTAGAAAAGGCATCCAAGAGTTTTTCAATCTTGAGCCAATTGATAGAAAGGGACCACCGACATATTATCAGTAGAAGACATAAGAAACTAATTGATGCACCTTCACTTTCTCATCTCGAATATGCTCAGGTGTAAGAGAAATAGGCTTCTCCATAGCAATTAGGCAAAGAATCTGCAGTTGGCAAGAATATATGTCTGTTACATCTTAAAGAAAAATGATAAACAAATTGGAGGGACTGTTGTGAATAACATAAACAACGATATGAATCGTACGTGTCAAGAATTAGACGCTCATAAGCCTCTGGAATGGTAACACCATGGTAACGTTGCTGATATGACAAGTCTAATTCACTTTGAATGGTCGACATTTCCAAGCCAGGCTGCTTGACCTGCACGAGAGTGACTGGTCAGCAGATATTTATGAAAATTTGAATATTATTCTGCCAATGATTTTCTAGAGAGCTTATTCCACAATACATTTACACGGATCTAAAGAGAGACGCATGGCAAAATGCACGAGAAGGTGAGGAAGGCACAGATAAAAGGGATTTCAATTATAGTTGGTCAACCATAAGCAGATAGGTGATTAAGCCAGGCTAATCACATATGAAATATTAGTGACATCATTATTAATACTTTTTATGTAAATTGACTTGTACATGCATCGCATGTGCCCAGAAGCTAGTTGCATTAAATTTGGGGCCTGTCTTTGGATAACAAGCTATATTTTTTGAAAATATTGAAGGGCATTCTTTAAAATGTTGTACCAGCAATTATCGGCCACTCAAAAGTTTCAGCAGCAAACATTAATGCAATGTTTGAAGCAGTTACTGTAAACAATCACATACCGTAACCTTCATGTAAATGGCCTCTGAAGGTTGCAGGCGGATTACGATTTCATTCCTTCCTTGCTTTTGACCTAATAAAAATGGGATTTATACAAGACAGTGTTCAAGCCAATAATTGATACATAATCAACTTAGACCAAATAACTATAAGCCAAAAAAAAAAAAATGGAGTGCGTTGAAGCAACAGTACGTGGAACTGTAAAGGATACACATCATGATAATTAACAATCACATCGAGCTATTGTCCAGTTATTTCATGTACTATCATGAACACCCTGTTTTCTGTTATTTTTCAATTAGAAGACCCTTCTTTTTTTTCCCCGACATCAATCACACATGCAAATCAAGCAAGATATAGACTTCAGAAGATTACTGAAAAGCAGGTCTGAGACCATACATTTGAATATATCACCAGGAACGGTTTTAAATTGAATACGGATTTCTGCCTTCCTAGAAGTTAATGCTTTCCCTGCCTTGAGTATAAACGGAACACCTGCAGCAAGCAATTCATACAGATTGCAGTCAAAACATATCAGAGTCAGGAACTACATTTTGATTAATCTAATGCTTAAGAAATATATAACATGAGTAGAGGTTAAGTCTGAATTATGTGCGAAAGAACAGTTTCCTGATCAGAGAATCAACAGGTTTATCTTCCTCAACAGTGACAGTAATTTAAAAATAAAAATATGAAGAATATGTAATTAATTTGTAGATATCTTATATCACACCTTCCCATCTTTCATTGTGAATTCGCAGAATCATAGTTGCAAAAGTGGGAGTATTTGAGTTGTCTGGAACTGTTCGGTCATCAGTGTAGCCATCATATTGTCCGAGCAAAACTTCTTCATCTTCAATCGGAAGCACCGATTGAAGAACCTGAATGGAAAAGGAAAGCATGTCAAGGACTCAAAAAGAGGCAACTCTTAAAGAATACAGAATATATTATACAAAATTTATGTAATATATGTATATATTTTTATTTCATCTTAACCATAGTACTAATAATCCAATTCTCTATAGCAATTACTTTATCCAACTCTTAAAATCTCTAGCATTACTCAACTAAAAGTGTGATAAGCCATGTTACCAGATGGCTCCAAAATCATATCATAAAAGTCTAACCCTTATTGAACACGGATCTTGATTGAACAGTATGAAAAGTTTGACAAATATATTCGTTCATTCTGAAGACTTCAAAAAACAAAAGAAAAGAAAAAAACACATAAAACCATTCAACATGTCCACTACGCAGAGCTTAATAAGATATTCCCACAAATTAAGAGTCACAAATAGAACTAAAGAGGGAAGTTACTGAGGTTTTTTAACCTGCTGTGTTTACTTCTGCCCAGTGGAGGTCCCCAAGTTTGTCTCCTGAAGGTTCAACAACAGTTCATCTGAAGTCAAGAAAACCTTGTTGGCTGAATTTGAGATTGTATGTGCAATTTCTCTAGCAGCTTCAATCTTCCTTGGGGTAATAAATGCCGGATTATTGGCAATAGCTTGACCTATCAGCTGGGCACTCTTGGCCTCACCCTGGAACCCATTGGAAACAAAAGCATATGTGTTAATTGAGTCAGAACGCTCACAAAATAGAAGGAAGAGATTGTCAAAGAAAACAAAAATAGAAACAAAGCATCTTTTCAAAAACAGAGGAACACCTGTGATTTTTAAGAGAGAAAAGGTGAATCTTTGATACGGGTTTAGAAGGAAAAATAGAGAACATGAATCTTTTGGTGTGGAAAAGGTACAACAATAAAAAAAAATATACAGGTAACAACATTATCCAGAAAAGAGTACCTCAATAACTGATAACCGATGCTCTGTTTGAATTCTTGACCTAAACACAAGTTAGCAGATAAAAAGTTAAAAGCTATATAAAGCCCTCTTTGGTCTATAAAATAATGATTATTTCAAGTGGTTCTATTTTGATACTAAATAAATATAGATACCACTGCAACAGACCTCCTGAAATATTTGAAAGCACCAGGTTTAAGATTAAATTAAAATTATTTTGATCACTTATTAAATACATGGGTTGTTCCTTGCGTGCTCCAGATTAGTTCAAACTTCCTGTGAACCTCTGTCAACCAGTCTATGAGAATTGATCTCATCTTTGAATTGATTTCAGGCTGTGAATCCATGTAATTGTGAACTTGACTCTCACCCTACCGTAATAAATTCCCATTAATGAGCAAAACATGTCGATAGATATAGAAGATAAAAAGATAGAAAAATAAAGGCCAAAATAGTACCTCTGTTAACTTGTAGAACTTGTAGATGCCCTCAACATACTTCACAACTGCCAATTCATTATCAACATCTGCTGCATCAATGTCTACTGAGTAACAAGGAATAATATACATATACATATACAAATAGAAAATTTATGCATCAATGTCTGCAAATTTCACTACACATCAATTAAGATAACAACTTACTTCACTAATTAACAACAGTAATATATATCAACATGGCTTGAAAATTTATGTAACATTCTTTGTAAAAATCAAACACTTAGAGAACCTGTACTGTACGAAACCACAACCATTTAGAAATACTTTCGTGAAGAAGCCTCTAGACTTGAGAAGGACTTTCGCAATTGTAGGTGCATGAATTCGGGGGTCTGGATTGGGCTGCAATAAGAAAAATGTTCAGAATGTAAAAGAACTCTCTGTTCTAGGCAACAAAATAGAGGATGAATTTGATAAATAAACAAAAATCAGAGCAAAAAAAGAACCTGCAGTGTCCCGTTTGTCCTTAACCCTGACATATTCTTTGATCCCTTGCTTCTCTTTCCCAAGCCCTTCGCCTTCTTCCCACCCCTACAACACAATTCCATCTCCACACCATCAAAATTCATCGAACACACACATTACACATACATACAGATTCAAACCTGAGCTGAAGCAACTATCTGAGCCAAAAGCAAATGGTGACCAAGCCTGACATGCAATAGAGAGTAGTAAGGTCTATCACAAATGACATAAAAGCTACAAGTAATGGTGAGTAGTATAGCTCAGATTATTGTAACACAAAACCAAAATGTGATACCTCTTCAACCATAACTAATTCAGGAGCATTACTAGCTGAAGGTAATTTTGATAATTCCACTTTGGATGTATACACGCGAGGCTAACGCTACATTAAATGGACAAACACCAAAAAATAATGGTGTCAAAACATTTGAGCATGTAAACATGAAAAAAATCTGCAGAGAAACAGAGAAGGGTTATCATCAAATACCTTATCTAGCTCATTTAGAAGCTGATAACTTGACATTATCAGTTCTAATGAATTCTCTTCCTTCAAGATCTGGAAAATTGCCTCAAACATTTTGCTGTTTGACCAATTTGCATAATCAGATACTCAAGAAAGATCACAAACAAAAAAAATAACAAACTAGGCCAGTTAAACTTGCATTTCTTATGTGGAGCTTCTACTTCTCCTATCCAAGGATTTTCCAAATCTTTCATATCATATTGTAAGTTGTTATCTTTATGCTCATTATTTTTCTGCCCTCCTGGAGAATTTATTTCAACAATTTCACTCCTTCCCAGTCTAAGAGAGTCAGGGGCTTGACTTACACCAGCTCTTTCTTTAGGAACCCTTTTGCTGGTATCACCATATCCTAGTGCAGTCATACTGTTACCACTGGTAAGCTCTGCATTTGTATGCATCAGAGATGTACCATCCTGAGAATCAGGTAAGATGAGTGGCGTATTAACCCCAGCCCTTGCATCTTTCCTAAATTCACATCTAATTTCAATTGTCACAGGGGACCCAAGAACAGACTCAAATGCTAGTAATATGTGTGCCTTACACTTCTCCGCCTTGGATTTTGTCAGGTGTGAACTAAACATCAACTGAGCAATTGGGGCTGCAAGACAGATAAACTAATTAGAAGGACTAGCAGATGCCCCACAAAATATGGGGGAAAAAAGTGGTACATCTGTAAATTGGCCCATCAAAGATATACTATCAATGTGACTGCCCAAGAAAATCATAATCTCAGTAAATAACCAATGTGGAAAAATTTTGTTGTTTTGACAAGTGAACAAACAATTGGGAAAACATTGTATCAACATGTTCCACTATAATTAATGAAGCATACATGAGGTGTATCTCCACACATGTTCATAAATAGTATCTAATCCCAGAAGTGTTAGAGAATACAGAAACATGTGGTCCAAACAAGAAGCAGGAGCAACCAAGGAAACAGTAAATATGACAATTCATACTAATTATTACACCCAATTTCCTAAAATGAATTCAGTATGATATTCTAAACAGCATAAAATATCCTTTTAAAATGTTTTCCATAATGTCTCTGAAGAATAGTTTGGGAAACCAACTGAATGAGAAACTATGCTGACAGAATGGCACAAGAATATATTGCACAAAATGGTAAATTTTAATCGCGTACTAGAATGTGCCCTCAGGGCAAGAATGCCCCCTGTTTCAAGAATTCACAGAAGGTTTCGATTAATTAATGATTAACCCAGTGTTATCAAAAGCACACCAAAGTGCACACCTAGGCAGGAGGTGCTCTTGAGGCTCCTCAACAGACCCAAGACAAGGTGACTTTAATAAGCGCAATCAAGATGCTCGAGACGCACAAGACGCATAGAGGTGTACTTCTCTTTCGATACTGATCTAATTAAGCCTGTTATGATTTTATATGTTGGGACATCCTATCAAAGCCCCTCAATTAAATCGAGAACCTCAACCCTAGTCAACAGATTGAAGATACAACTAACCTCTGATCAACTAACCTCTGATCGAAGAAGACGAAGAGTTCCAAATCCACGGAGATGAATCACGGATCTATGCTCAAAATCGAACTTCGAAATCGCAATCCCGAGATGAATCACCGAACTGAAGAAGAATCGAAGAAAAATCACTGAACTAAGGAAGAATCTAGAGAGATTTGTGAGAGAGAGAGAGAGAGAGAGAGAGAGAGAGAGAGAGATTTGAGTGAGTGAGAAGGAGACGACAATGCTCAAAATAGGGTTTTCAAAATAAAAGTTTAGAGAGACAGAAGAGGGTGCGAAGAGAGACAGGGAAGAGGGTGTGTAGAGAGACAGGATTTGGAGGCATTTTATAAATGTCTTCTATTTTCAAAACGGTACCGTTTTACCTAACAACAAAGGCGACGTTTAAAAAACGCCGTTAATTATAAAAAAAAGTGACGTTTAATTAAACGTCGTTAATTAAACGCCGTTAAATCCTCTTTTTCTTGTAGTGAGTATTGGTTATGAGATGTGGTTATAACTAAGTTATGATCACTTTGATTATAGTTATGAAGAAATATGATTTTAGCTCATAACTATAAAAAGTGACCTCTTTAACAGGTCACCTTTAATGATGCGGCTCAATCCTAGCCATTGATTTTTTGTGTACCGTACATTTTGTAGACTTTCCCGCATACTGATAGTTCCTTTTACTAAAAGCCAGTATTTTTATATATCTTGAAACTAGTTGTAGTAAGCACCATCATTGGAAACACTTTAAAAATAAAAATACATAAAGTAAATCTATGATAATAGACATTTCTCACCCACTTGTATGATGCATCTGTGGGGTAAAAAAAAAAAAAAAATTTACAATATGTACAAGTAAACAAATTGTTAGCCTCAAATTTTGCGTCCTTTTCATTTTGATTCTTTATATTTTAATTGCTTCAATTTGATTTTTAAATTATGTAATTTGTGTTTAAATGGTACTTATAAGCATTGTTTTATCTGGTGGTGTTTGGAGAGTCGCTAAAATACTTACATTTTTTTCATTAAAAAAAAAAATCACTAAAAATTTCAATTCCCAAACTCTCCATAAATTTTGAACAAAAAAAAAAATTAAAAATTGGACAAAAGCCATGTTGAAACAATTTAAATACAAATTTTACGCAATCAAAATATCAAAAATCAAAATAAAACAAAACTCATATTTTATAGATTAACAGTGTACTTAATCCTAACATCCATTATATTATATAGAGTGTATATTTTATTTGATGCAAATGGTGTCACATCTTTATTTTTCCAAAAATAGCTTCCACATCAATATATCCTAAACTAATATTTCTCATTCATCAAACTATCAAAAAATTTAAATGTAAAATTACGAACATACAACAATTGCACCAGCTAATATATATATATATATATATTTAAATAATAATGATAATGTGTAAGAAAGAAAAAGGGTAAACTACCAATAGTTTCTAATAGTTAGATTTAATTCTCATTAAGTCCTACTGAAAATAAATCGTAATAAATTTTTTGTGACGATTTTTTACATGTCGCTAAAAATTAATAATTAGTAACCTTTTTTGTCATGGTTTTATAAATTGTTGCTAAAACTTACAATTAGTATCGTTTTTCTGTGACGAATTTTTCAAAGTATCGCTGAAAGTTAAAAATTAGTGACTTTTTTTGTGACGATTTTTTTAAATTATCGCTAAAACCTATAATTAGTGACATTTTTATGACAATTTTCAAACTGTCACTGAAAATTAACAATTAATGATGTTTTTTAATAGTGTTTGATGAAAAATGTTATTAACTATCATTGGACTTATTGCATAATAAGTCCACCTCACTACTACAAATACAGATAAAGATCACACTTTTTTTGTGTGATGTATGTTTTTTAATCACATTTTAAGTTTTAGTAAAGTATGATCTTTGGGAGTGTAATTAAAATGGGTCATTTTTAATCACACTTTTTAAGTGTCATTAAAAAATGACTTCATCACATCTTTTACGTGTGATTAATAATATTTAGATCACATCTTTTAAGTATGATGAAAAACATTTAGATCACATCAAGTGTGATTAATAACATTTAGATCACATCTTTTAAGTGTAATTAATAACTAATAAAACTTGTGATAAAAAATAGAATTCGACATATTTGAAGAATAATCAATATTATTTTTATACGTGCATTTGAAGAATGTAATACACACTATATATTATATTTTGAATCACAACCATGTATTGAATGGAATAATGTCATATATTTCATAAATGAAAGTTAAATGTTAAAAAGTATATACAAATGAATTAATAAAAAGTTTTTAACTGTGGTTACATATATTAAAAAATGAAAAAAAAAAAAACTTGAAAAAACTAAGTTCTTGAATTCTTTGACCATATTTTGCATCTCTCTAGGAAATTTCTGACCTAAAAAATAAAAACACAAATTAATTCAACACTATATATTATATTTTGAATCACAACCATATATTGAATGGAATAATGTCATATATTTCATAAATGAAAGTTAAATGTTAAAAAGTATATACAAAGGAATTAATAAAAAGTTTTTAACTGTGGTTACATATATTAAAAAATGAAAAAAAAAAAAACTTGAAAAAACTAAGTTCTTGAATTCTTTGACCATATTTTGCATCTCTCCAGGAAATTTCTAGCCTAAAAAATAAAAACACAAATTAATTCATAAACCGCTAGAAGCATATGAATAAACTTACTATTTTTGTAGAGATTGTTCTTGTCTTACAAAATACAAAATCGGACATTTTCTCATCACACTGACTCTTCATCCCCTGCATCAATAGAAAATGAATAACGACTTTGATTGTTACTAGTATAAAATGTTTGTAATACCATATATAAATATGGCATATACATAGAATCAATAAATCCAAAATGAAAATCTTCAATGCATGGCCTGATATTGTAAAATCATAAAACCAAATATATATAGAATCAACAAATCCAAAATTATAAACCAAATTACAACTTATACTTTCCTACTTGATTGATGAAAATACTCTTTTATCTCCTTATAGGCCTTCACTTGGTGCATAATTCTCACTAGGATTAAGTTTGCATCTTCCTTCCATTCTGCAATTTCATTGTGAGAAATAAAGTTATTGCATTGAATCAGAAGACTCTTTAAAATTGCGAAGAGTAGTAACTCGTAGATTTATTTCTTCAATCCATTCAATTTAAATACAAACCACCATCTCACTAACCTTCTGAAATCAATAGGAGATATCCATGATAAACCCCATCATTTAAATAAAAACTCCAAACCTTTCAAGAAAATGGACAAAAACAATGAAAATGACAGTTAACCCCAAGATACATTAGTGAGTTATTTTATTTAATATTTCCAACAAAAGAAAATAATGAGATATATCACAGAAAGCAAAATACAAGGCACCTTATTTAATATTTCAAGTGACATGGTCCAACATTGATTGTCACCGACTTACTGCATACTATTTAGTTTCTCCATTTCACCTATAAGTTATAAAGCCTTTTTTTTTTATAAAGCAAAGTGTTGCAACAAAGAAAATATTGGATAACCCAAAGCAATAAAATAAAAATAAAGCATGAACCAATGATCGTGCACATTCATAATGAACATCTTATGGAGTAAACATAGAGCTTATAGCATATAGGAGATTGAACCAGCAGCTGATGACTCCACAGATAATAGAAAGTATGATTTAATTCAAGAATCAACAATATCATTACAAAACCAATCAAATAAAACATTTGATGGCATCTTCTAACCCAATAAAATTTCTTCTTATTTCACATTTTATATGCAGATATCAATGTAATGCAAAGAAATCAAACATGGATAGATATATGCTCATGTCATGCTCTCTGTCTAGTCTTTGGTTCTCTCTTGACGCAATTCAACCCAACTGCTTTTGTATTTAGTCATGTCTTCTACCTCAACTAATGCTCCTTTGGAAATTAATTTCTCATGGTTTGGCTTGGTTTAGCTTCTTTATTCACTTCAATGTGGGTAATGGGAGAAATATTTGTTTAAGGAATCCTGGATGAGGCACAAGCTTGCTTGCAGATGGGTAAAGTGTTGGGTGTAGAAATGAATGGTCACGAAGCTGAAGTTCTGAAAAAGATTGTGGACCTTGAAGTTAAAGATATAGGTCAGATGGTCAGTGGTGAGGGTGCAGTAGCCTAATAGGTATACATTGTAGAGGCTCAAAGGTGTTTCTTTATATTCTATGACGATCCTATCTTGGAACATTAGAGGAATAGGTAGGCAGGAAAAGAAGGGGGAGATAAGGAAAATTCTGAAGGATAGAAATGTTGATGTAGCTTTTCCTCAGGAAACCAAAAAACCTGCAGTAGTTGAAAAGGAAGTACGAGCAATGTGGGCAAAAAATAAGATGGAATTTTTGGCGGTGGATTCTGAAGGCCTAGTTGGGGGATTACTCTGCATTTGGGATCTAGAGGTATTTCTACTTAAGGAATGTTGTGGTAATAGAAGATTCATTTTGCTTTCAGGTACTCTATTTTGCTTCTTTCAATTGTGTAATTCTTAATATTTATGCAC